GAATGACAGTGGCGACCTCGTATGGGTAAACAAAATGTAGGACGACCTCCCGTTAGATAGAGTGACGACCTCAAATGCATTGCAGGGAGTCAGCGAATACTGGTAGCTTAAGACCGTTGTTTATAACAGTCTATGGGGGAGGCATATATTCAGCAATGGACAGATAAAAGCTGAGCTGATGATGATGATGAAATGACTATTTATTTAGTACATTTAGTCAGAGAAATTGTTCTGATTTGTCAATTTTTATAGCTAAGTTTAGTAATGTGAGTAACTAAGATTTCTTTTTGCATAATATATCTGTAAAATATCCCATAGAAATTTTATCATAACCGAAATACGAGTAACTGGTTTAGTCGCGTTTGAAGTCAATGTTTCTTTTTTGTGAAAATGTATTTGCTTTTAATGTAAATATTTTAATAGTATTTTCTAAGAGCATTATTTCATTGCTCAACTGCATTCGTCAACAACAGAATACTGTGAGCGCGTTCTTTCATTGCTCGACTGTGTTCGCGTAGATTAGAGTATTCTGAGAGCATTCGTTCATTGTTCGACTGCATTTCTCAACAACAGAATATTCTAAGAGTATTCTTTTATCGCTCGACTATATTCGGGTATATTAGAGTATTCTGAGAGTATTCTTTGGTTGCTCGGCTGTATTCGTCGACAACAGAATATCATAACAGAATTTTTTTATTGCTCAACTGTATTAGGGTACATTAGAGTATTCTTAGGGCATTCTTTAATTGCTCGACTGCATTCGATAACAACAGAATATTTTGAGAGCGTTCTTTTATTGATCGATTGTGTCTGTTAAAAATAGAATATTTTGAGAACATTCTTTTATTGATCTACTGTATTCGCATACATAAGAGTATTCTGGGAGCATTCTTTTGTTGCTCGGCTGCATTCGTCAACAACACAATATTATGAAAGCGTTCTTTCATTGCTCGATTGTATTTGTCCACAACAGAATATTCTGTGAACATTCTTTCACTACTCGACTGTATTCGGGTACATTAGAATGTTCCAAGAGCATTCATTCGTTGCTCGACTGCATTCTACAACAACGGAATACTGTGAGAGCATTTTTTCATTGCTCGACTGTATTCGGATAAATTAGATTATTCTGAGAGCATTCTTTCGTTGTTCGACTACATTCGTCAACAACGAGAATAGTCTGAGAGCATTATTTTATTGCTCGACTGTATTCGTGTATAATAGAGTATTCTGCGAGCAGTCTGTCGTTTCTCTAATGCAAACATGAAGAACAGAGTATTATATGAGCATTACTTCCTACCGTAGTACCTACGCTGTTTTGCGTTATTCCTTTCTGCTTAATCATATTGAGTGCTACTTTCGAGCTTGCTTTATTCTCTTCTTCTATCTAATCAAAGTAATCTGCTTTAGATAGTTTAATATTAATAACTTAGTATAACGTTATTTCAGTTTAATATTTCTACATTTTCTGTATAAAACATAATTATTAATATATCAATATTAGATTAAAAATTCGTCTATAACACAAGCGTAAAGCAGGATAAATGGCGTTTACAGATCATTTGGTATTAAACGCGCAAAATTATCAAAGCGTAAAATTTCAAACAATAGGCGTGGTCGATCAAGCGTGCTCGGATAATGTGGTTGTGAGGACCAGACCGCACCTTACTTGCTCGCAAACCCACTGATGATTATTTAATTTCATTATATTCATAAAAAAGTAACTATTAAGAACTAAGTTATGTTGTTGAAATTTATGCTTTTAGTATTATTATGTGTCTCTATTCATCAAATTCTTTACCATTATATGAATATAACGTTTAGTATTGGCGTATTTAGGATTATTTTCTAGGGAAGGGTTCTTTAAAACAGACATATGTATACTCTCAGACGTATGTTTGTGAAGCTTCGCTTGCATCTTGGATTAGGCACCAACCATTCCTGGGGTGGGCACGTCCCTGGTCCTTCTTTAAATATCTACATCTATGAGTTCAGGAATATGCCTGTACTCACAAATATATACTTTTGATTCCTTTTAATACAGAGTTATTTTAACATGAGTAGTTACTATGCAGTTGATGTAATTGTGTGATAATATTTGTCTTCTCAAGACCAAAAAGGTTTTGGGATTGAAATTCTTGCGTTTTAAATGGATTTGCACATATTTGTGCAAGTTATTCCTTACTGTATTTTAATTTTCACTTAATTATTTAATATGACTAAGTAATAATTAAAATATTTAATAGTGTTTGAATTCAAATATTCTCAAATACTATAATTCGTACGTACAGTGGGTATACCTAGAAATACTCATAATAAACTCATAATATGTTTGAATAAAAAATGTACATGTATAAATTTAAATGTATAAAATATAATAATCAATTATTTAATTGCAAAGAAAAATTTAGTCAATCATTTGATCGTAATGGTGTTTCTCAGTTGTGTAGTTAGGATTGAAATTAGGTCAGTTTTGTGGTATAAAACATTCAAATTATACTTACAACTAGGTGTTCTAATATAATTTATTTTAATATTTTACTCTGTTATCATCATATCCCCTATTTTTTACTAAGCAAAATAGATTTATCATAATGATTAGCTACTGTCATTACAATAGGCAATAAAATATATATAATTAACAACTGCATAAAATTTATTTTGCACACTTATTAACATGAAATTATTCGTAATCGGACATTGATTAATAAAACTTAATTTTTAAAGAATAACTTTTACCCGCGACTTCCCCTGCGCGACTAGGATATGTTCACTGACCGGAATGTAGAGTACCTATATATATACAACCTAAATTCTTCCTCCCATATAGTATGTGTAGGTATATCGAATTTCATAATAATCGATTCAGCCGTTGAGACGCTAAGAAATAACAAACTCACTGTATGAAAGTAAGTTTATTACCTCTAAATTTTAATTTGAGTTTTAATATTAGCAAAGATAGCACTTGCTTAAAAATTTATTTTGGTTTTTATATTCAATATCTTAGGTTAAAAAAATAATCTATTATTCCTATATTTATAAGTATTATAATCTACGAGTATCATATCAATCCCACAGTACCTAATAACTAGTTAAATTAAATATCAACGGCATCTATACATATCATCAAAATAAACCGAATAATTTAGATAAGAATCGACAAATTAGATTTTTCCCTATCATTGAAACTGTAACAACTCACCTAAGTTAAGATTATTTAATTAAAAAAAAGTTTGTTATCTAGTTCGCATTTATATTTAATGTTTAGATTCTAGAGGCATTTATATAAACAATGGTTTAATTTTGTAAACTAAGTACCTAAACTATCTATATAAATGACAATACTTTGCTCCTAATATAATGGAATAAGTACATACAACTTACAGAGATGCACATCTCGTACGTTGCGGTGTAGGTGAACTAGTAATGAGTTAGAGGATTAAGGTCAGGTCATAGTAATGGCCGTCAGGCGATGAGCGGGTGAGAGAGCGATGCGTGCAACATCAGTGAGAGCGGAGCGCTGAGTGAGTTCAGCTTAGCGTCGCGCGCCGCTCGACCCAATTGGTTGCTCGCTGGCGGCCCGCCCAGGGGAGGGGGCCACTCACACACTCTCACACTCACCTAAGATAATTTATTTTATGTTATACCGTTTGAATATTTTATATCTGTGTGAGTTTTTTCGGTCGGTATGCGTTCAGTGTGAAATATTCGCGCGATAAGAAAGAAGAGGGGAACAGATCGATCGGGGACGTTGCGCTTTTTATTTCGATACTTGACGGTGTTGTTTCCAAAGCTTAATTGTAGGTGCGTCGTCTTGAACTATATGACAGACATAATTAGTTAGATACATATATTTTTCGTATTTTTAACAATCTTTAGTAACGTGTTTACCTAAACAGCTCTTAAATTAAAGATATTTACTAATACCGATAGATACATAATTAATATTATTAACATATAAGATACTTTTTACTAAGTAATATTACAAATGATGAAGCTTATAAAGATATTCTTTATTATTAAACAAATTAACTCAAAGTGTAGAGATGCGCCACGTCCAGGGTTCATATATAATACATACTTTTTATTCTAATTAAATCAGGCAAGAATTTAAGAGCTAATTATTTCTAAATAAAAATTATTAATTATCTGTTCATTATACTCAATCTACCTATTTAATAAGTAATTATAAATCCATATTTAAAGAAAGTAACGTGTTAACAGCTATTAAAAGGAATTTATTAGTATTCAGTACATTAAATAGATATAATCTATTTAATATAGGTACCTGCTTACAACATGCAGTTTAGATCCTTTCATTTACCTATTTGAATATCATTAGCTTCACCATAACCATTACTTTTAATCATTGTAATTTCTTTCTATGTTCTTATAGTCTGTACACGACAGGTAAAATAATGTTTATCGCAACTTCAGAAGTCTCAACACTGCTATAACTCTGCGTATAATATCGTACGCAATACATATACAGTCGAGATAAACACATTCAAAGACCGTTTAATACTGTCACCGCTAACATGTTTCCACCGCTAAAGCGACCCCAGTAATATAAGCTATCGAGTACACAACAGGCCACAACCGCCGACATCACAAGCAGCCTGCTATGGATAACTACTAAGGTATTTGCGTTCCACGATGAAGGAAAATAAAAATTACAAATGTCGTGGTTACCTTTAATCAAATGCAAAGCTATCATTAAGTCGACGCTTCGGCAAACTCGCTCGTCGTGAGCAGCGTCACTGTTAATTATCACAATATATATGTATAAAATAAAATAAAAGAGACCGCTCTGTACCAATACTAACATAAAAAATACGAGAAAAGAAAGAGAAGCTTTAAAAAAGAAAGGAGTGCATCTACCCCCACTTCTGATCGCCCCCACCGCGTCGGGCCGCCCCTGCGGCGGGCGCCACCCACCGCACCGCAAAAATCGAGAGCGTCGACGGCGGCGCGGGGTCAAACGGCGACGCGAGCGTGAAAAGAAGGAGCGGTGTGCGAGCACCACGCACACAAGTGGAAGTGTGCGTGTGCGCGCGAGAGGGACGGTCGAGGCGAGAGCGGGACGGCGGCGCCAATTACTATCACCTGGCGGGCAGCTACCGCATTACCCACTGCCGCCGCGCGCGCGACCACGCGCCCGCTGCACCACGCGGCTCGCTCCGCTCTTGTGACGCTCCGCTGGTACCCCGAGTCTGCACTTCAATCGATATTCGCACCGTCGCGACCGGCTACCGTCGCGAGTGCACTCCGTGATATTCTAATCGCAGCTATTCGCTCTTCTCGGGGATGCACCGTGAACAACTTTATCCCGTATGTTGGTAGTAGTGCTGCCGCGCGACAACATGCAACTGTGAAGTGTGTGCGGACAGTGACACGAACAATACGAGAAACGTGCTTATTAAGTTTACTATCAAGTTTCATTGTGAAAAATGACATCCCAGTTCGCCTTCAGAGGATCTCCTCCAAATCAGGTAAAATATTGAACTTAAAAACTTAATTTACATTTGTTGAGTACACAGTTACTTTTAACAATTTTGCAGGGCGATCTAAGTAACGTTAAGGAAATTTGTCATTTTAATAAAATGTTCTTGAAGTATGTGGTATGTTTATGTGTTTACTTAATGACTTATTTTGAAATGTAATTTCCATACTGCTTTCAACGAGCGATCATTTTATATAGTTATTTTTACACTACTGACATTCAACAATTATTTAATAAAGAAACACTGTACCTAATTAGTTAACTTTTCTCGTTCATCAGAAACATCTTTTCCACACTTAAGTAGTTTTATAATTACTAGATGTAAATTTAAAATTTACATGTAAAATATTATCGACTGTTTTGTTAATTTCGATTGCAATTAAACAATGAAGTTATACCTACTTATAAGTATCTAATTTAAATTTTATTAAAATAAGTAGGTAGAGACGTCGTCAATTTGTTGGGTAGGTACTCTACTTATCTTCCTAGTTGTTGTTATTGTATTACCACTTTCACTTTGTTTTTATCGGTTATAATTAATTAATAATAAATAAGTTATTATGCTTTTTCCGTACGTAGGTACCTACTATCATTTATTAAATTTCTATATTTATTAATATAATGTAAAAGATTCCAAAAATAGGATTCATAACGTTTTTAGGTAATTAGATGGGTTGGTACTGTTTTTAATATCGCGTTTATTGTTTGCATTACTGTTTGTCTTTATAACATCCTGGCTAAATTTGAGACATTAGGTATTTACTTACATTTGTACCAGTACTTCTTTTTACTAGGTACACATTTTGAGAAATTATGACTTTTTCAATATCCTCGTCTCAAGTACACTCTCTGAACCTATCTTTTCATGTGATGTAACAAAAGATACACCTTTACTTTCTTCATTTTACGTTAATTATAACAGAATAACATTAAAAAGTAATACAATTTTTTTTTAATATAGGTTATTATTACTAAGTCAAATTTTTAACTACTTGTTTTAATTTCGTACCATGACAGATATATATTGAATAATAAAATTTCTTTGTTCTTTAATAATACAAGATGACGCGATAATTAAATAAATTACTTAAAAGAACAAAACAATATAGAGATTAAATATATAGAGAGAAAGAGAGAGGGGTAAAATGTGCCTAAAGCATGCAACCAGATTTATTTGGTTTGAAATAATAATACCTATAGCAATATAATTAAATAGCAACAGTACTAAAAGAAAGACAAATTAGAGCTAAATTATAATAAATTTAGCCTAAATAACATCGTAGGCACAAAAATAGGTATTATTAGGTGCAACATAGAAAAGAAAAAGGTAATATACTTAGCAGATAGTATGAGTAGGATTTGATCAGTTAAACAAAATACATCATATAAAGGAAAAATAAGTCTTAAACAAGAGCTCAGAACGAGAGTTGGGATAGAGCAATACTAGCAGGACGAAACTAAAAGAACAATAGAAAAATAAAGTTGTATGCGAATGCAATAGAGCAATCGAAGAATCTCATTGTACTCTTCGAATTTTCATAGCATAAACAAGAAATAAAAAAAGAAGAAAAGGAACAAGCATTATCTCATTTGACCTATAGATGAACGAAGAAAGATTTAAACGACTATTGATTTAAATTGATTATAAATAGCTCTACTATAAATACTTATACGTTAGAAATAACGTTAAAAAATATGTATCTAATAAATAATTTGATGTATCTTTGACTCTAAAGAGAAAAAAAGTACTCGAATACAAATTTCAATATTGAAACTTATGTTCTAATTGTCATCATAAAGTATTCATTACCTTTCGTAACATATCATTGAATGGCTAATTACTACACCGATAATAATATCCGTTTACATCACAATGTACTTATTAGCTGTACAATACATAAGGTTACAGATATAGATTTTACCACTAAACCTATAAAAATGCACTGTTAAAATTTCTTTTGTCAAGACATTAAAAAAATACGAATATGATATAGGAACATTAGGAATTTTATCAATATATGTACAGATTTATAATTAACAAGAGTTTGGCTTGTCTAAGGATAAATAATACCTCAGACGGGTGGTAGTTACGCTTGTAAGACTGGAAGTGTTATTTTTACATTGCCAAATCTAAACCCGCCCACTAGAAAACCAGACGTGAATATAGTAGGGTGGCGATGGGTGTTGCTGCTTCTCTCCCTACAATTTCTCTCTAAGTAGTATACATACTATACGAAGAAAGAAAAGGTAAGTATAAGTAAAAAATAATCACATTTTTCAGTTACAAATATATGAACACAAAATTGCTTCACTGCATTGTTTGGATTCAATAGCACCTTTTTACACTTCTAAATTATTTCTATTCTTTATGTTGTGTTTTATTTTTTACAAGAAAAAAGAATATGTTTACAATTACATATACTAATAGGATAATTAATAATACTATTATGAATAGTTAATGAAAATGTTTCACCTACATATATTAACGAAGTAATTAAGGTAGATATAAATTAAAAAAGTAAAAAGATAAAGAGCTATAGAAATAATAAAATAGAACGTAAAATTAGATAGATTTAGGTAAATGAACGAGGTTTACAAAAATTGCAAATAGCAAATGTAAGAGAGCAATTAAAGAATACTTTTAGAAAATTTTAGGAATGTTCTCTGTAATAAACTTAAAAGAAGGAGAGATAACAAAAATTATAAACAGTATAAAAAAAAATACAGAACATTTTATTATGTTCATGATACTGTTATTGTCTATAGACGACGGTTGCCACTTTCCACCAGGTGGACCGTCAGCTGATTTGCTAAACTGAGTTGCATAAAAAATTCAAATGCTCATTTGGACAGTCCTTTGTTCATGGCGTTCCTTATTGGCGTTACTGTCGAAATATATTTATTCTTGTTACATGCTAGTAAGATTTAGGACATTATTTGCTTATTTGTAAAGTGACTGTAAATATATTAGTAGGGACTAAATTCACCTGCAAAAACAACGCATGAGCAAGAATTAATTAACGAGAAAATCAGCTGAGTTAATAATCAAGGACGAATCAATCATACAAATTTAGTAGTATGTATTTTACATATTAAACTAAGTAAGAATTAATGAACTTACGACTTAGCAGATGGAGTAGTCATAAGCGTAATTGTGTGTTTTCGTTGTGGGGTACACGATACGAGTAAATCTTCAATATTGCCTACACTTAGACTCTCAATCCAAACAGTTACAATAATTAATGAGTCTTATTTTATTATCTTTATATTTATATTATTTTCAATATTTATACATATTTTTAATGTACATGTAATACTTAAGTTATATAGGTATATTTTATTACTTTTTGTCCCGAAAATAAAATACATTCTAACGATTAATTATTGATATATGTTAAAAATATATTTTTACAAGTGTTATACAAAATAGGTAGTATTTTTTGTTATTTTTCTGTTTATCTTTTTATTAATATTAATTTTCTTATTAACTTAAACTTTAATTAAAGTTGACATTATTATCATATAAGCCCTTTACAGTCCATGCCGAATATAGGCCTCCCCTATAAACTACCATAAGGTATGGACCATACATCTGCATCCATTGAATCTCTGTAATTCATTTGAAGTCTTCACTTCATTTAGTGGGGGGGGGGTCGCCTTCACTGCGTTTGCCTTTACGGGGTCGCCACTCAATAATCTTATCCATCAGTTGTCGATTTTATGAGCTATATGACTAGCCAATTGCCACAGCCAGCTTACTTATCCTTCAGACTATGTCAGCCACTTTGGTTCTTCTGCGTATAGGTAGTTGGACCCTGGATGTGTAATATGGATGTCACCGAAGTGTTATAAGTCTACCAATATGAGTAACAGGTAGGTACCAAACTTATCTATAAAAACTCACTTATTGTCTACAGTTTATTTAAATAGTATTTATTTGAACAAGTACATATAATTAAAATATCAAAAGCCAATTTTCTCTAAAGCAATTTCGTGCTCTTTCCCGGTCTTCTATTCCAGAGACTACTGCAGTACTTGTCAATACTATTTTTTATTTTGACATGTTAAGATCCTGTATCCATTTACCTTTAAATTCTTCGTCTTTACAAATATACCTATAGTTAGTTTATTTTTTATTTTGTAGAAGTAATTAACCTTTAAGCTAAAAACGAAGCATGAAATGTTACTTACAAACGTTCGAGCACAATAGAGCTTGTTTAATTTACTGTTCAGTGTTTTTTCCTTTGTTCCACGAGAGAACCAGTAAATTATGTCTAATGCAAATTTATCTAGAAAATACAAGGATGGAAGGTATATACTAGGAAAGTTAATCCATTAGATCCCGTTTTCTGCAATTCCTCAAGATTACCTAAAACTTATTAAATTAAATAAATCTTACTTTTATGGCTACCTTATAAAATTATTTACAAATTAAACATGTTTAATTTATTAGTCCGTAATAAGCAGGTACCTAAACTGTATTTAAAAATTAACAATAATTTCTAAGTAATATTATAACTGTACCTACCATCCGACCGACAAAAATTAAACCAAAAATTGTGTACTTGTACATAAAATTCGCTACAATGATTTAATCACTTAATTAAAATCTTTACGCAGTGAGTTTGTATCAGTATTTTTATTTGTATCAGGTAACAGAAAAGTTTAGTTACTATCTAGAAAGATATAATTAAATTATGTTATCTTTGCCATCAATCATTTGAGAATAAGTCTCAACAATGTATAAAAGATGTGTACATACATCATTCGCAAAAAAAAGATTGCCCTGCCACGACTTAATTAATAAAGTGTGATATGTATCTCATATTAATAATAATAAGTAACACAAGCCTCATTAAAATCAGCTCATTATTTTCCTTGATGTAAGAACAAAGAGATTTATGTAAAAGGCGAGTAACAAGTATCTTGATGCTGATGTTTGTTGGTTTGTTGATGAGTACAAGGTGCTATAATAGTAATAACATTTAT